GATCTGCACAACATCAGCAAGAACTGATTCAAAAGCACTGCGACTTTGGGCTTTAGTCGGATCCCGTAAAATGTGTATATTTTTCAAATCTTCTCTTTGCAAATTTGTCACATCTTTTGGTCTGGCGGTTGCACCGAGCGCCATAAACAGAAGCAAGACGAGGTTCTGAGGCGAAGCGACGCTGAAGATCATGGCTAGGGCTCGGTGGAATGTCCTTAATCAAAGATAAGAAAAACAGTACAGCATCTTTAAATAATTTCATCAGGTTGGTAAACGAATGAATAGCAAAGTTCTTTGATCACAACCATTTATTTTTCATGAGCCGACCATTCGATGACCGTCTGTCATCTTCATCAGGGCAATTCTGACCGGTTTGCTGTGCACTGACGCTAGCTGTAGATGTTACTTGGTGCATAGTGCACTTAAAAGGTGTTACATAGTTCACAGTGCACTGTTACTAGGTCAGAATTGCCCTGATGAAGATGACAGACGGTCATCGAAACGTCGGCTCGTGAAAAATAAATGGTTGTGATCAAAGAACTTTGCTATTCAGTACAGCATCTTAGCATTAACGTTCATCTGTGTTGGTATACCTTATTATAACCGAAAGGGCTAAACATTCTAGCCAACACTAAACGCGTCCAACACTGAACAGAGACGGGGGGCGACACAGGTTATCTGACACGTACAACCCTTTGCTGCAATCATGCGTTTCCGACGTCACGTCATGGAAGCTACAGAAGAAGGGTCCATTCCGTGAACGAAAATTTGGGTAAGTCTCAATTTAGTCCAAGGGTTTGGTAGTCCTTCCATACATCAAGGACTTGCTGAAGCACTCAGGAGGATTTTCATTTCCCACGGGATTGCAACCCGTTTCAAATCACCCACTACTTTAAGACACATTCTTGTTGCGCCCAAGGATAAAACCCCCAAAGAGAAGAAGTGTGGTGTCATCTACCACATCCCCTGCCAGGGCAAAAACAACAAGGGGCCCTGCCAGGAAACGTACAATGGGGAAACAGAGAGGTCTCTAAAAGCCAGGTTTCAAGAACATACACGGCCTAGCTCTGCCAGTTCAGAGGTGTCACAACACATCCACATAGAGTCACCCGGACACTTTGTTTCATTTGACACTGTAAGGATTTTAGACACTGCCGAACAAGACTATTTCTTGAGAGGATGAAGGAAGCCATCTACATCCGGGCCCATCACCCTTATTCATTGCAAGTCTCAATTTACTCAGTGTTGGCTAGAACGTTTAGCCCTTTTAGCCATAGCACAGCATCTTAGACACCCATATACATCAATAGATGTGTTGTTCTGTTCACTTTTATCAAATCAATCATGTAGTTGCATTAGGCTCCTTTAACGTAAAAGATTATATGTGTTTAACAGATTGTCATTTGTATAGGCAGAAATATAGTTATATTCAATGACACTGGATGGTCCCTCACGTTTGCAGAACAAAAGGCTAAGGACCGTGTTGCCTGGAGGGAAAAATGAAGAGGAGCCATGGGCCAGTTCTGGTCTGAGCATTTAGGCAGGTAGGCAGGCAAGCATTTGTATAGTATAATGCGAATTTTATTAAAATTTCTGTGAAGAAAGAGTTGGTGTGTTTTGTATATAAAGGAGATAAAAAACCCGGATATAAGGCATCGAAGCATTCCGGATCTAGTATCCTGGTAATTATTGATCGACATAAATGTATGTATCTATTTGTGGGCATGGTGGCCTTGAAAAGGTGCACTTAGATACACCTGTTCCACCATGCCCCCATGTACATATGTATGTGGTTAATTGTAATAAATAAATAAATAAATAAGAATGTAGCGTTTGACCGCGCATCTTTCTGCTTACGTTGCTGCTCTACGTCGGGAGATTGTTTTTCACGTTGACATAAATCAGAACATAAAACAGCGATCAGAGACCCGGTAACCAGCAAATAAATACAAGTAGTTGTTTTAAAGAAATGATGGCTTCAACAGGGGATATAAGTATCTATCGGTATTTCAACTTATCACGGGTATGGCCTGAATACAAGAGAATTGAGGGTGGGGGCAAAACAGTAGTATTTAACACCTTTGCAAGTTGCCCCCCAAAATACTACCAAAACAAATAATACAGTGCAATATCGTATGTTATAAAAGTTTTATAACATACGATATTGCACTGAATATATAATAAAGTTACAAAACAGCACTAAAACTTAGGAGGTTTTAAGGCCGCAAGACATTTGTTGTTTGTCGTGTGACTACAAAAGATCGTGTGGGTCGTGTGGCGTCGCGGTAGCGTGTTCGGACAAGGCCCGGGTTCGAATCCTGCCCGGTGTCACCAATCTTGTGCCCTTGGGAAAGCCACTTTACACGTCTTTACTCACTTCACTCAGGTGTAAATGAGTACCTAGCTTCGGTCAGGAGAGCCACACCCCACCACACTTATCGAAAAGAGTAGGGGACCTTCCCGGTGTGAGTGACTCAAACCTTAGTCTGTTCTTAGGTTTGACATCTTGAAGAGGTGATATCCACCTGTACAATGTATGTCAATCCTTCCACTAATATGGTAAATCTTCATTAAATAAAATAAAATAAACATCGTCTGACTTGAAAGTAGCTACAAACAACACAAACTTACCTTTGCTATAGAGATGGCAGCGACAACACGTTGGTACTGATCTGTGAAAATGTATCTGAGAGAGAGAGAGAGAGTGCTTCGCAGCGTTGGTACTATATATTGTCTATCATAAAACACGTCATCAATTGTAGTTTTGTGTACTGTACCGTACAATCGTACACAGATCAATATAGCTATCTGTTTCTTTTTTTAAATTGTATATTTTGTGTATTTATTTTGTAGAGTCACACAAAGCATGGAGATAGAAACCTCCATGCACAAAGTGATTGAAGTTCAACTTCATACCGTATTTTCATATAAAACCTTTATTTTTTTTCCATTCCCACCACTCCAGATGGTTCGCCTTCATATGATCAAATCACAAATTCTCTCCACTGCACAAGGAAACCACACCACAATATACAATACCTGCTGTGCAAGCTGATACTGTATAAAACATACAAAAGTTTTCCACATGTTTTAAAGTAACAAATCTTTACGCTACATAGTGGCAATTAAAAAAGCTACATGTTAAGCAGCAATTTGTAACAAAGTCTACAGTAATCTAGTAGTGACGATCATAGTTCATTACAAAGTGTAAAAGAACAAGTAAAATACATCTTTTTTTCTCCTTGCTAAATCTACAATTACAAAATACAGGGTATCATACTTTTATATTCTTGATTATACTCACTCAAATGAGTGCATCAGCTTTTATTTTGCATGACGCTTATTTTTTTGCTGACATTTATACTTCAAAATGTTTCTAGAATATAACTTGTACATAAGAAGTATCATTCGCAAAAATGTCGTTGTTTAGGGCTTGGGCACATATGAAATTGTCGTACGATGCAAAACTGAATGCATTCTTAGGATATATTTGTGCATGTGTTGTATAACTATAACTATAAACTTCAGCTTTAAGGAAAAGGCTGTCTTAGAGCCTTGTCAGCGTTTGGCTCTGTCACAGCCTGTTTGTAAATTCTACAACATCAAAATCATACGAATGTGACCGCGCCACAACATAATTATCATAAGGCACACACTGGATAACCCTATGTATATCTGAACATAGCCTCCATAGCATGCCAAAAACTGGGGGTTTTGGGGGTCTTCATGGTCTTTGGGATCTTTTATGTGCTATTTTCTGATTGCATATAGACAACATAGCCGGCCTGGTTGAATTACCCCCTTTTTTAGAACTGGGCTAATCAGAAAACAGCCGAAGATCACCAAACCCCCAGTTCTATAAGCCTGCTATGGAGGGTATTGAGAACACTGGATATTTCTAAATTGATGATCTACATGTATATGCCCACAACTGTGTTAACATGTGTCTTTCCATTCAGTGCAGTCTGAAGAGACCATGGTTATGTGTACTTGATCGGTGAAATCATAATATAATCTTTGGTAATAATCTGTCCATTACACTGAGTATACTGGATGCATATTACGTACATGTAACATGTAGAAGTAGTCTTTTTGAAAAAATATACTGTACTTTAATAAGGATTTTTACATAAACCCTTTCTACCTCCCAACAGATGAACATGTATATGCAGTGTGACGTGGAAAATATCTGAGAACAAGAACATCGTTGTGAACCCTGTATAACCTGGTAAGGCAGTGGAGTCATGTAAGAACAGTGTTGCAGTGTGGTAGGGCCTAGGAAAAAATGTTGTGTTTCCTGTTTCCAGTCCTAAAAAAATTAGGGTCAGTATACGAAGGTAGGGATTATCTTTTTCTTCTTCTTTTTTCCTTAGACTTTGGCGATCTCTAGTGATCCAACTTATACAATACTGTTTAAGAGTGACACCTGTATGAACACACTTCTATTTTCAATGTTGGAAACCCAATTGTACAACATTTTGTCACTTAGGTGTCAGATCATGGAGCTAGAAATGGTCGATCTGCTCGAAAAGCGTATGTCCCTTGCAGGGATCCACCCAAAAAAAGGCTAGGGTCGGCAGTTTTTTCTTGGGTTTGTCGGGAAACAGGAAACACAACATTTTTTTCCCTAGGCCTAGATTGTTTTCTTGCCCTCTATATGTACAGTGTACTAATTTTACTAAAAGTTTATGTATATATCACACTTTTGGAGTTTGAGAGGAATTGAGTATTTGAATTGTTTTGACCCGGAAATGAGCCAAACTTGTATAATATATATAAAAGAATAATAAATAATATCACCAGCACCTTGCTCTTGACACTTATCACCATATAGCACCAAAACGTTCTTTTTGTGAAATGATATAGACTATGCTAAAGATAGCCATTGTTTGCGATTTTCTAAATCTCCAAAATATTCTTGGCTATTTTCATGATGATTTCATGCACACTGAACATTGTAATACAAAATGTATGACAGACTTTCTTGCAAAACAAATGCACAAGAATCTCAGTGTTATATAATATATTGTAATAAAAATGTATCGTTGAAACATCTACTGTACAGTGTATTACATGTCTCGTGGTCTACAAGCTTAACCAGAAGTTTTGTAAGGGTCATGGCACATTATCCATTTTAAGTACCGAAAATAAGCTTTTGTAAGAGTTGAGGCACCAGGGTTACCTTGTATACATGACTGTACATGTACATGTCTCTTTTTAAGTACCAAACATCACCTAAATTACCCTTTCTGGCACCAAGCTGAATTTAAGCAATCCCAAAAGCCATATATATCAATCAGTAGTCAAATTCCTGATGACAACATGTTGCTTTGTGCTTTTTTAAGGTATGATTTGGAAAAAAAAGGAAAAAATAACTTCTTCTATCTCCTAATGTAAATGTATAAACTCATCATGGATAAAAAGGATGACATGACATAGCCATGACAAATACATGTACATTAATCTTAATACAAAGTTGTACAATACTTGATGCAGGGAAGGAAACTGGAAAAAAAAGGCCTGGAAAAAAAAAGATGCTTGTGCTAATCTTACATGTAACTCGAGGAAAGCAACAAATGAATACGGGGAAACAAAGTGAAACAGAAATTCTGAAGTATCGTACAAGTCATGTTGGGAAGGGAACTCTACTGTAAAAAAAGAGCTTTCCTGTAAAAAAAGCTATTAAATCTTAACTCCTGGGGGACAACAAATGAATAAAACAGAACTTTGGAAGTTTGAGAACTATTTCCTAGACCTTAAAGTGACTGCTGTGCTTATTTTGGTTACACACATACAGGACAACACTCCCCTGGTATCAGTAGTGGTTTCGCACAGCTCTTCTCTGGACACTTTTGTCTTACACACGTGGCCTTTCCTTCCTGTAGAAAAACATAACATAAGGACCTTGACTCATTGCAAAAGCTTAAAAGACCCAAACAAACACACACAGACCACATGTCAACAAAAAGCCATTTCGTTGTGATGCAATGTATAGGTAAGGATAACTTTCTATGGACTTATTACAACTGTATCTTAATAGACTTGTTGGGACAATCATGTACATTTGCAACCTGTATGTTGTTATATTATGTATGACCCTGACTTCTTCCCTGATGTCTTCAATGAAAAGCAGCCAGCAGGCCAATTTGAGTATTTCAAGAATAACCAAAGGCTCAAATCAAAAATGGAAAATGATGTCTTATCGGAGGATTAGTCGTGTACCCTTGAGAACACCACTAAAGTAAAAATTGACTTTCTTCACACAAAATTATCTGTGTTGGTAGAAATCATTCTGGAGCAAAACTGTACTGTAATTTCCAGTATCAATGACTATTAAAAAGCAATACCAGGTTAGTGACCTCACCTGACATCTGCATGCTGTGCAGTCGTCTGGGTCCCAGGTTTCTCCGTCCTGGTACCTGTTCCCCTCCTCGTCTTTACATGTCTGCAGGTGCTCCAGCTGAACCTCAAACTCCCGCACCTGGAAACAGTTACGTGTACAAGACGCGTCACACATACAATATAACTGTTATATATGTCAGCTAAGTTATGTTAGTATATACGTAACATGTATCTGTACCCTGGATACCAAACTCGGGCTGACAGCCATTTCCCTTCTGCAGCCAGAAGCCCTTCGCCTGCCAGTCTAAATTACTGCTACGGAGGAGTCTAGTCCGAGGGAAATTTGGCTGGCCCTTTCAACTGACAACGTTCTAGAGCTGACCAAATTCTCCTGGGCTCAACTCCCTGTAGCGGTAATTTTAGATAGGTGGGCGAAGGGCTTCTGGCTGCCAAAGGGAAACAGCTGGCAGCCCGAAACTACTCTGGCATCCAGGGTAATGTAACTGTTCCCAACTTGTCTTTATACACGTCTGCAGGTGCTCCAACTTAACCTCAAACTCTCACACCTGAAACCAGTCGCATGCTTTTTATTTCAGAAAATAACCAAAAAGATCATGAAGAGCAATAGAAGATGAGAGGGCATTTGCAGGACTGACAATATGTTGTTTGGCAACATTGCAATGCTAGAAATACTGTGCACTTTTGTGCACTCAAAATTGGGAGTATGCACCCAAAATTGGGAGTATGCACCCAATTTTTGCCTGTAGCTGCACTGGTGCCACTAGATACAATGTATACTGTATTTGTGAAATGTATGATAAGGTACTAACATACACTATAATAAACGGTATTATTCCTCCCCATTCAATGTCAGAAAAAAAAAGAAAAAGAAAACCTTTGTTGTATTACTTTTTTGTCAGCTATAGAATTTCAGATCCAAGCTGTGAAGAGAAGCAGTAAAATTTGTTGTTACGTTTTGCTGACATTCTATAATATCATATTTGCTGATATTCTGTTATCATTATGTTTAATCATCGTCTGAACAATTCTGTAACGTCTAGAAGCACCCACCTTTCTTGTAAGCTGCGAGACGGCTCTCTGCAGGTCCCCCGCGATGTCCTGCATCATCATCATGCCGTACTCCAACCGCGACACTCGGTCCGACTCATGAGTTAGAGTAACGTTCTGTCCCAAAGCATGATACTCCGCCACTGTGTCAACCCTGTCATGTCTAGGCTTGGAGAGTCTGTGTTTACTGCCGCCGCTACGTCTGTGTTTCATGGCTACGAATTCCTTCTGTTTTCCCATCTTCGCCGTTCTTCTTCTCTGCTTCGCAGTCTCCAGGAAGTTTACGGAATCCGGCCGCTCGGAATACCGGGCGGAGCGTCGCTTACGGAATGTTCCGGACACAGTGCCGAATTCTGCAGAGTTGGCGCAGTCTGAAAAAAAACAAGAGAAAGAAAGAAATCATCAGAATGTTAGGAAATTAAAAATGTGGTAAGGCAAAGCATAGTTTCCCAGTGATTAAAAACTTAAGGTACATCTCGATCTTGAGTCTAGTCTGCTAGCCTAACAACTGGGCAATTTGACACCATGCAAACAAAAAAAGGTACATTAACACAGTCACATACTGCCTGTTAAAAAAGTGACAAATAAAACTGTAACTTTGCAGCACTCCAGGTGGTAAGGTCCATTCCTGGAACACTGTCGCAGTAGACATACATATAGAAGAACTTTATTGCACATGGTACATTGTATGGCAAACTACATACATGTGGCCAGTGGGGAAGTCTGTGTTTAGGAAGTATTAACACACAAGCAAGCAAACAAACAGACAAACCCTGTACCTTCGCAGCACTCTGTCTGAGGTCCATCCTTGGTACGTTATCGCAGTAGACGTATCCGGTGGGAAAGTCTGCGTTCAGAAACACGTCGTGCTGCACCCTGTCTATGCTTGTATAACAATGGACACACAAACAGACGAACAGACACTGTACCTTCGCAGCACTCTGTCCGTGCGGTGAGGTCCATCCCTGGTACGTTATCACAGTAGACGTAGCCTGTTGGGAAGTCTGAGTTCGGGAACACACAAGCAAACAAACACACACACACACAAACTCCTATAATGGCGCGGTCACATTTCCCAACCCGGGACCCGGCCGGGCAGCCGTATGGAATGAAAATTATGATATAAGACAGCAAAACACAAAAAAAGTTTTAGAAAATTAACCATGAGCACTACTTGTGTATACTCTTAATAAAAATTGTTTATGTTTCGTTCACGCAAACAACCCGGCCGGGCCCCGGCTTGGAAATGTGACTGTGCCATAACAAAAGGAATGGCACTGTACCTTCGCAGCACTCTGTCCATGCTGTGAGCTCCATCCTTGGTACGTTATCGCAGTAGACGTATCCGGTGGGAAAGTCTGCATTCAGAAACACGTCGTGCTGCACCCTGTCTATGCTCGTATAACAATGGACACACAAACCAATCAACAAACAAACACACAAACCCTGTACCTTCGCAGCACTCTGTCCATGCGGTGAGGTCCATCCTTGGAACGTTATCACAGTAGACGTATCCGGTTGGGAAGTCTGCATTCAGAAACACGTCATGCTGTACTCTGTCTATGCTGTCGCCGTTGTCGCACAGGACCCGCGCCAGGCTGGTCTGTCGGAGCTGAGTCAGCTGGGAGGGCTTGAACACACCGGGGTTCTCGTACCAGAACCTGGGGAGACAGGAAATCAATCAATCAGTCAAAAAATCAATACATCAATTGATCAATTGTCAGCAGGTGTCAGGGACTCTGTCCATGCTGTGAGCTCCAAAACTGTTTTACGTCGTTATCAATAAACCAGTCATATAAGAAGATTAATCTGTACCTGTCTCCATCCCTGATGTTCCTGAACTGCTGAGTGATGATGCAGTAAAGCCTTACCTGTCTCCATCCCTGATGTTCCTGAACTGCTGAGTGATGATGCAGAGGAAGGTTGGACCCAGCAGCGAGCCTGGTACGAGATCCTCCACTGCTCCCGCAACAAACAGGTCCAGGTTGCCGGGGTGACCTGTTTAGGATTAATGATATCAATGATAAGGCCACACCAATTTGATTTGTTGGTTCTCGGATTTTTTGAAAATATGGTTAACTAGAAAAACCTAATGAAAGCAAAGTCTGAGGACCTGGTTGATGCCTTGGCCATGGTGGACTCAGTGTTACATGTATGTAGTAAATACAGCCATATTCTAGTTTTCTTCCTAGCCCTCTCATTTCATGATGTCCGCTTGCTATCTTTTGAACTAAAAATGTATACTGATCAGAATTACGTCTTAATTCCTGCTAGAACTGAGAAATTCAAAAGATCTTTTCTGCCTACTTCCATTGTTTCCTGGAATAACTTGCCATTAACTACACGAGCATCAACATCAATTGCCATCTTTAAAAAAGAGTTGGAGACGTTTTATCACAGCCCTCACACTCAACCTCACTTCTCCCACGGTCCGAGAAACCCAGCTATCCACCTTACCAGACTCAGACTCAACCGCAGTCAGTTAAACTTTCACCTGTTCCAACATCAATGTGTGCCCAGTCCTGCGTGCAAATGTGGTCACTTCAACGAAACAGCTGTACACTACTTCCTACACTGCCCACTGTACACTGACAAACGCATTGACATGTTATCATCTCTAACTAACATTCTGCCATTTGACACAAACAACGTCACCGTCAACACTTTATGTTCAACCATTCTCAGGGGTAACCCCTCATTGTCGTTTGTCAACAACTGTAACATATTTGATGTGGTTTTCAACTTTATTTTGCAGACAGGACGTTTTGTTTGATTTAGTTGATTCATTTTGATTTGTACACCAGCCTACTATGTACCCTTGTCATTTCTTATTATTATTATTACTTTGTTTTATTGTATCCTTTTATGTGTGAGGAGAGGGCTGAGATAAGTTTTATAACTTTTTGCCTCATCCTCGGAAAATAAATGTGAATAAAATAACTAAAAATGTCAGAGAACCAACAAAATTAATTGGTGTGGCCTAATGAATAATCACGATCCATCTGCCATCCGAAACCCAGACTAAATGCTCAGAAAAAGTACAGAAACCTGTACAGAATGTCTAATTTTGAATGGTTTGAAATTGTATATTATATATTGGTATTGGATGTGAAGAATTATTTTATCTCTTATTTTCCAAATGTTCTAATATATTCTGTATAATTTCTGAATATGTCATATATACATTGTACATGTAGTTTTGTGCAATCAAAAGAATAGCTAAATAGTGAGTTATGCTATTTTAATTTTATTTAGTTATGCTATTCTCCCACCCGGATACATTGAAAATTGCATGTATTTCCTGGTGAAATACATTAATCGAAACCTACCGTACAACTGTCGTAGCCTGTCCCTCAGCTGGGGGTCAGAGATCTGGTGCCTCAAGCTGTCCCAGTCCTTCACTGCCGTCATGTTGCACAGCGTCCGCCAGTCGTTGTACCCCGGCAACGCGTGGTCCCGTCCCCGCTGGATGTTCAGCGCGGCCAGGTCCAGCGCGATGTGGTGCGCCATCTCGAAAAGCCGCTCCGTCAGCTCCGTGTTCACGAACTCGCGCGAGTTCCGCTGCTTCAGCGGCGTCGCGAACAGTCCCCGGAGGACCGGGTCGATTCCTCCCTCCTCCACGACCCGCTGGGGAGAGAAGAATGCCTGGTGGAGGGGCAGATGTCCCTCCGGGATCTCCTGGAAGCTGGCGTTGAGTCTGAAGATCATTGGATTGATCAGCGTGTGGCCGATTCGGTACGCGGCGGTGGCGAAAGCGTTGATGATGCTGGGGTCCGTGTTCGGGTCGTAGCCTGAGTCACCAGATATGTTGTAAAAACAAAAAGTATTAGAGGGATGAGAATTTTCTAATGTATTGTGTTTACCGACAATGTTTTGATTTTTAAAAAAAAATTGTGTCAGTGGAACCAGGCTGGTTTGTAATTCAATGAATTTTGAACATTTTGAACTGTGAAGAGAAGGGACTTCCTTCAACTGTTTGGGCCAAAATATAAGCATTTTGGAGTTGATTCAGAGGCTGAAATGTTGGTTTTTTTTGCAACTCATAAAAAATGAAGCGGGCGATTCTGTGAACCAACATATTAAATTGGTGTGGCATATAAAAAAAAATCACTACTACTTGCCTCGGTACTCCCCGATGAGCTCCATGCCCTTCTGCCCGACGAACTTCGGCATCCAGTGGGCGAACGTGATGTGCTGCATCTCCGCGCCGACGATCTTCCGCCCCTCGTGGTAGATCGTGTCGCCGTCCCAGTGCGGGTTCAGCCGACGAAGCTCCCTCGCGACGCGGTTGTGCTCGCGCATCCACAGCGTGTGCATCGAGAGGAGCCCCAGCTGCTCGTTGCTGCGCACATCGCCCGCCAGGAAGCACGGGATGGGGCTAGGAAAGAATGAATAACAGGTTTATGCCGTTATCATGAAAGTTCATCTGTGTTGGTAGTTACATGTTTAAAGTTAAACCTTTTGGTCCAACACAAAAAGTTCTCTCCCCTAGAGCTTTCGACCAGTCACTATGGTCTTCCTCAGTAGACTGACCCAGTGAGGCTTGTCACGTGGCTTCTTTGAAGTGTGACGTCAACACTGGGTCATTCTACTGAGGAAGACCAGAGTGACTGGTCCAAAGAGAACTTTTTGTGTTGTTGGACGCGGTTGTGCTCACGCATCCAGAACGTGTGCATCGAGAGGAGCCCCAGCTGCTCGTTGCTACGCACATCGCCAGCAAGGAAGCACGGGATAGGGCTACGAAAGAATGAATGAATAACAGGTTTATTTCAATAAAATGAAATAACAGATAATACTAGTATGCCATTGCAGTTACAATCACTGAATTGGGACATATTTGACAAATAAAAGATGACTTTTTTACAGAAAATGCGAATTTTCTACATAGCTCGATGCATCTCTGGTACAGTGTGGTCAGAGATTAACACTAAATCATAGTTTACATACATGTAGTTCTGACCTAGTATGATCTACCTGACCAATTGCCAGCTCGCACCGAACGATATGACAGATGCACACTGCCATACCTTGTTCACATTTTGAACAGTCATGACATAATCTGTCAGATGTACAATGTATGATTTAAGAGATACATGTATATTATGTAATCCACTGTTTCAATACACAGAGTGGCATTCAGGATTTTACCTATATAATTGTCAAACTCACACAATTCAGCCTTAGTGGCTGCCAGGTGATGGCGTTTTACTTGTACAGTATTGTGTTTTGAGTTGTGTTTATGAAATAAACCAATGATATCTACACACCTATCGTGCTGCCCTCTCTGGCAGTCGATCGGCAGCTCGGTGTTGTACGGCAGCAGGTACTTCCCGTTGGCCTGCCGCAGCCCGCCCTTGAGTAACCCCAGCCGGTTGGATAGGTCCCGAATCTGGGTGGCGTAGAGGTCGTTGCTCCCGTAGACGTTTGAGGCGTCAAGGAACGAGGTCAGGGTGTTAATCTGTTCTCTGGGAGTGACCTCGTTGAAGAAGAGGGACGTGCTGCCTGTGCCGCACACAGCACTCGATCTTCTGAACTCCATGCATCTGTTGGGATACAGTCGTTTAGATAAATCCAATTATGCAAACATGGGGAAAACATGTTCTGTGTAACGCAAACTCTATGCGCTATCTGTGGCTTTGATGGCCCTTCCCCTCAACTTTTCAGGGGGCCGGCTGAATGTTGGTGTTTTAATCAGCCTAGGAAAACCTGTAATGAGGAGATTGAGGAGATGACTTGGAAAGGAGCAAGACCATCTGTCACACAATGTTGGCCACCACTGCTTCCAATGCTAAGGAACTTCAATTCGAATTCTTTATCCCATTGCTTTTGTTTTGATTGTGTGTGTGTGTGTGTGTGCGTGCACGCGAGTGTGGCCAGAGGAGAGTGGAAAGCAGTGGTGGCCTACATTTTGTGACAAATGGTACCGGGGACCATGAGAATGATGAGTTATCTTAACGTTTGCATCAACCATTGGCAAAAACTGCTCTGCTACCTACGGCCTCACTTATACACTCAATTGAGACATTCTGTTGTCAACTACCGGTATACTTGTTATATGTTACAATATGATGCTATAGTTTTGAAAAGGGGCTCGCTACCTCATCACCACTTTTTTTAAAGAATAAAAAACCCCACCTGTGTCGAATCCTGGGGTCCCCGCGGGGGATCTCGATGGGGAAACACGGCGGGGTGTTGTCGCAGGTCTCGTTACACCTCAGGCCCGTGCTGAAGGTGAACTCGCTCGAACTCTCCACGGCAAGGTCAAGGTCATGGTCCAGGAACTGTCCCCACTGCATCACCATGTGAGAGTACCTGGAAAAAATACATTCAGGAAAAGTTCATTCAAGACATTCAGGAACTGGGTTACACCTTCCAGTGGTGATATCAATGATTTTGATTTTTTTATTTATTGAGATTGTAACAATACAATACACGTGGAACAGAGGCAGCTGTTGCTGGTGTTGTGTCCTGCACATAGAAACAAATACAGGACAGACAATACTTATTTTCACTTGAGTTAAGTGAGGAAAGTCGTGTTAAGTGCCTTTCCCAAGGGCACAAGATCGGTGGCATGTCAGGACTCGAACCCGGGACCTCTTGGTTCCGAGTCGAGCACTCTGCCGTTACGCCAAACGACCCCACGATGAAACTATTAGAACAAAAATAGTCCAATTCCTTATATATGACCTGTTGTAACATACAAGACATACATCATAGAGCATTCATTATCTTTTCCCTACAATTCATAATTTCCCAGATAATTCATAGTTCCCACCATGTACAGATTGTGAGTAATTATAGAGTGTGAATATGGATTATGGAATGTAATTATTCATTATTTGTAAAAAGTACACAACTCATCTAGTGGTTGTAAGGTACTTTCAATGTCTGTTTATATACAAACGTAACATACCTAGAGTCCGGAGTGGTGGTGGAAGTGGACAGGACCTGGGTGGACACTCCTCGCGAACTGGGCTTGGAGAACCCAAAGTACAGGTGTGACCTGTGAAGGAAAAATGGCAAATGAAGAAAAATGTACAAAAGGACTTACCAAGTATCTACTCCTAACAAGTGTCAAATACAGATACAGAAGCTGGTGTGTTATGTTGAAAGGTGGTTATACCGGCTATACAGATACAGAAGCTGGTGTGTTACGCCGAAGGGCGGTTATACCGGCTATACAGATACCGAAGCTGGTGTGTTACGCCGAAGGGTGGTTATACCGGCTATAAAGATACAGAAGCTGGTGTGTTACGCCGAAGGGCGGTTATACTGGCTATACAGATACAGAAGCTGGTGTGTTACGTTGAAGGGCGGTTATACCGGCTATACAGATACAGAAGCTGGTGTGTTACATTGAAGGGCGGTTATACCGGCTATACAGATACAGAAGCTGGTGTGTTACGTTGAAGGGCGGTTATACCAGCTATACAGATACAGAAGCTGGTGTGTTATGTTGAAGGGCAGTTATACCGGCTCTACAGATACAGAAGCTGGTGTGTTACGCCGAAGGGCGGTTATACCGGCTATATACAGGTACAGAAGCTGGTGTGTTATGTTGAAGGTATACAGCTATACAGATACAGACCTGTTCCATCCTACTGGTGTGTTGAAGCCATTTTCGTAGATGGGTTTGAGCAGACGCCTGAAGGGGGTGAGGGCCGCCCCCCACATGGGGTGCTGGAAGTTGTTGCACGTCCCGTCGAAGGATCGGTACCTGAGAGAGGGAATGGTTTATTCACACTTAAAACAGTTTCCAGTTGTCATAAAAAAGCAGCTATGTCGATTTAGCTGAATTGAGTTTTGACATAACATAAAAGCAATCAGTTATACTGATAAAATTATCTTGGACACTTGCTAAAATTTGTAAAACTATAATACTCAACTTTAAATTACCTTGTGGTAATTAGACTTATTTCATTTTATATTTACGTACTAGTCATATTCTGAACAGACGTCTGCCAAGACGAAAAACAAGAGTCATATTCTTACACACATCGAAAATGTGTCAAGAGACTGATGTCATGTTCTTTGGACCTGATGCTGTTGCATACATAATTGGGCTCTTCGTGAATCTTAGAGTTCTAACTCTCTACCTCTGGTGGAAGCATATCCTGTCGGAACAGTTGACCGTCTGCTGGTGGGTGGAACACCCTGACAGGTTTGCCACCAGGCGAAGGTGGCTGGGGGAGATCAGCTCTGTGTAGGAGTACTCTGCAAAAAAAGGCAACAATTTTGACCGTTTCCAAAATCATATCCAGTTGCTTGAGTAACTGTTAATGGTTATCACTAGCAGAACATTCATTAGGCCACACCAATTTAATTTTTTGTTTCTCGGATTCGCCCTGTCCATTTTTTGCAACAAAAAATTTTTCTTTTGGGTTCTAAATCAACTGCAAAATGCTCAATGAAAGACATATTTTGGCCCCAACGGTTGAAGAAAGTCCTTTCCTTCCTAGTTGTTAAGTTTTTCAATGTAACAGTGCAATTTTGTTTCATTAGAAGTTCAAAAATCTATTGTTTAATTGTAACATTGCCGGCTATCATGGGGTACCTTAGCCTGTTTTTTTTTTCGCCCTGTCGCTCCATATTTTTTCTAGAAAAATCAGAGAAACAACAAATTAAATTGGTGTGGCCTTAATTTTCTAATTCCATATAGCAAATGAATGTACCCGAATCCTCCAGGTTGAGTTTCATCCCGTGCTCCACCTCCTGTCGCACCAGCTGCAGCGTTCGCTCAAAAACCTCCGCCGCACGTGCCAGGCTCAGGGCTTCAGGGGACGGGAACCGCATCAACTGGAACATGGAAAAAGCAGAATGTTATACCCTCTACTCATGTGATGTGATGTCTCATTCAAACACTTGTACATTGTACGAACAAAGCACATACACACACACGCACGCACGCACACACACACGCACACAAACACACGCACACACACACAGGCACAGGCACAGAGACACACAGGCCAGGCTCAGGGCCTCCGGGGAGGGGAACCGCATCAACTGGACAGGGGAAGAGCAGATTGTTATACCCTCTGATGTGATGTCTCATTCAAATACAATGTACTTAGTAGTACATTGAACGAACACAAGCAAATACATACACACACGCACATACACACATACTCACATACACACACACACACTCACTCACTCACTCACACACACACACACTCACACACCACACACACACACGCACACACACACTCACTCACTCACACACACACACACACAGACACACACACACACACACACACACACACATACACACACACACACACACAAACACACCCCAAACAATACCTCTCTGGATATGGCAGAAATAATACCAGGGTTTTGAAACCCTTCCTACCTGCAGCAGTTGAGAAGGCATTCAAGGACATGTAGGCCAGGAGAACAGGTCATTTGGGGTCGTGTTGAAGACACAGTCCACACACATACACATGTACACAAACACACACACTTACTGTACACACAAAAATCATTCATAGAATAGGGCGTTTTGGTTCATGTTGATGGCACGGTCCACACACAAGCAAACATACATGTACATACAAACACACACAGACAGATACACACAAGCACAAACACACAATCATTAAAACAATACCTTTCAACACAGAGGCGACAACAAAGTCCCCGTGTTTGGGTGGGCTGAGAAAATTCATTTCGGGTTGTGTTGATGGCATGGTCAAACAAACAAACAAACACACAAGCAAAGCATTCCTACCTGCAGCAGTTCAGAAGGCGTGCGAGGTCGTGTGGGCCTGGAGAAGAGGTCCTTTTGGGTCGTGTTGATAGCACGGTCCACACACAAGCAAACGTTATACATGTACACACACACACAAACACCAGCAAAGATACACACACACACACACACACAACCTTCCAACAACAGTTACTGTACCTGCAGCAGTTCAGAGGGAGTGCGAGGCCGTGTGGGCCTGGAGAAGAGGTCGTTTCTGGTCCTGTTGATTTCGCGATCCACACTGTTGATGGCCTGCTGTATGGACGGCCCCACAAATGGATCTCCGATGAAGTTGTTGGTTTCTGGAACTGAAAACAGACAAAGGTGTGATGACTACAACGTGGCATGATATACTGTTGTCAATCAGTGAACAAAATACTTTTTTTGAACCAGGCAAAAATTAGGTTGCCCATCAGAATTTTAGGTTGTCCCACCTATAAGTTACTACTTTCCTCAAATTAAGTAATGTTACATACATAAGCCTTTGACAATATTTTAACAGCTTTTGGTTAACTGATACTAAGAAATAGCCATTAATACCTAAAGTTAAAAAGCATCTGCCGGATACAGTGGTGCAAGCCAAGTGGGCATGATTTTGGGGGTAGCACATTGGGCTACCTAGGTTCAAAAATAGGTTGCCCCAAGTAAAATTTGGTTACCCAGGGCCACTGGGCAACCAGGTATTTTGCACGCTGAGGTACAACAGACTTAGATGGTATGGCCACCTCCAGAGAATGGACAGGGACAAATGGCCAAAGAGGATCCTCACACTGGATGTGGAGGGTCCAAACACCCATGGCCGCCCTAGAAGGAAATGGTACGACAACATACAGGAGGACATCCACCACCTGAACTTAAAAAAAATCAACCCACAGGACAGAGACAAGTGGCGTGCTGCCATCAAGCCCCAGATGTATTGTGCAAGCACGTCTAACCCTCGGAAGACGGGGAACAACAGACGATAAACCGGACAGTGAGTGAATGTGAGTGATACAGTAACTGTATCAAACCTAACCACGTACCCAGCACAGTGAACTGCATGCTTGTGGAGGCAAAGCCTATGGTGTTTCTGGCGGAACACTCGTACCGCCCCGTGTCGGACTGGTCCACTCCTCGGATGATCAGATGGCCGATGGCACTCAGGCCGTACTTGCTGCTTTCTGTAAGGAACAGTTCGATTATCAATGAATGGCGATTCATACAAGTCAGAGATCAATAATATAATTATTATACAAAGTCAAACAAGACAATTTACATGTAAGAATACCGGTAATTCACATCACAATTTTCTCTAGTTGATAATCCACTATTTAGGATGTCAAGTTACAAGTACAAGTACTGTATGAATCATTTTTTTTTACAGCTTGACATTATGACTTGTATGTACTATAGATGCAGAAAAAGTACACATTCAGTCAGTATTTCCAGCTCTGCGTCTACTTTTTTGTATAATGCTGGCACAAAAGGAAACTGATGTAATTGCCGGCTGAGGTTTTCCAACTTACAAGGTGTGTAAGTACATGTACATGTATGTAATGTCTATAATGGTTGCACAAATGGAAGATGAGTACTAGTGAGACTTACCTGAGATCTGTATGCCATCTTTGCTCCATGTAATAGCCAGCTGAGGCTCTCCCACGGCGCTACACACCAGGGTGATCTCCCCTCCTGCCTGCACCGTCAGGTCTGGGTGGTACTCTAGCCATTACACGTATGCTACACAACACCAGGGTACCACTTACCTGAGATCTGTATGCCATCTTTGCTCCATGTAATCGCTGGCTGAGGCTCCCCTACGGCGCTACACGGCAGGCTGATCTCCCCTCCCGGCTGCACTGTCAGGTCTGTCGGTGTCTCCGTGAACGTTGGGGTCACTGCAAACCAATCAATCAATCAATCAATAAATTAATCAATCAATCACGACACTACATGACAGGGTGATCTCCCCTCCCGGCTGCACTGTCAGGTCTGTTGGTGTATCCGTGAACGTTGGGGTCACTGCAAACCAATCAATTAATCAATCAATCAATCAATCAATCAATCAATCAATCAATCAATCATAAAATTTGGGGTTACTAAAAACCTGCCAGGAAACAAAGACATCAGATCTATTAATACATAGTTAATAGGCAACCTTGAATCAAGTTTCCTTAGCTACATGTAGTTTACGTCCTTCTCATAACAGATGTCTCTGGTTCAGTAGCCCTTGTGCAATCACTACAGCAGGGGGCTAGGGTAGCCTCCATAGTATGCCAAAAACTGGGGGTTTTGGGGGTCTTCATGGTCTTTGGAAGCTTTGATGTGCTATTTTCTGATTGCATATAGACAACATAGCCGGCCTGGTTGAATTACCCCCGTTTTTTTTTTAACTGGGCTAATCAGAGAACAGCAGAAGACCACCAAACCCCCAGTTCTATAAGCCTGCTACAGAAGCTAACAGCAGGGGGCTAGGGGGCTGGTAGTAGTTGACTGTGTTTAACTCCTGTACTCTCTCTCAAATCAGAGTGCCAAGAAGAGAAAGCAGTATGTACCCAAAAGTCTTTAGTATGACTCGGCAGGGATTGAACTACTGAATGTAAGGCACGAACTCCAGATCTACATTAAATCTTGGCCATTGCACTGGTCAAGTTTAACTGGCAAAATCCAAGGGTTAACGATCCAACTGACCTCTGGCCTTGACCGATTAAACTTTCAATCAAAAATATTACAATGATCCACCTCACCAACTTATACAGATGTATGTTTGCTATAATGATCAGTATTTGTGATGAAAAAAAAAAGTAATTATGACTGCAAATTAAGGTGAATCTCTTAATAAACCTCAAAGGTTTCTGTTTCCCCTGCACATTTACTTAACCATTTCCAACAAGTGATTTGTTTTTTATGTGCATATAAACAATAATAATAAACAAACCTCTGGCCTTGACGGTGAGGTCGGCCCGTGCCCTGTCCACGCTCGCCACGTTGACGGCCTGACACTCGTACGTCCCCCGGTCATACGAGGTCACACGGGAGATGCGCAGGATTCCGGAGGACAGCACGGTGAAACGCCGGTCGTCTGGTAGCTGGTTACCTAGGCGACAGAAACATTACAGAAATATGGCCATTATTACAAAATACGAAAAAAATACTGATGATGCTCAGCTGAAAGTTTGAAACAAAAAACAAATTTGCTCCACTTAATTGTAGACAGATATCAACATGGTAGGCCAATAAACTGCAATTGGATACACCGGATACGGTCATTCCTGCATGAAAGTGCTTCCTACAGAAATTAACATTTGAATTCCTACAGGAGAGTTCTATTTAATGGTACTGGTACAAAATGTATTGGGACTGTGCAACATGGGAAACGTGGAATTCAAACTTAAACTTGGAAGTGTTAGAAATTGCTTTGACCATCCGAGTACAATAACTACAATGTAGAAGGTATGCCTTTCTAAATGATTTTGTCAGAATGAATCCTACCACGTTAAGCCAAGACTCACCGTTGACTGTCCACACGATGACGGGAGTGGGGTGCCCCTCGGCTCTGCAGTCAAACTCCACCGATGTCCCCTCCACCACATCAGCATCCTGGGGCCGGACTGTGATCCTGGGAGCAGCTGCAGGGATACAGAGTACAGTATATGTCAGTCTTTCCACAATGGAGACTCGAAAAGGGGAGGCACATGTGATGATACACATTCATCTTGTTATTTTTTGATACTGTAATGTATGTAAATGTAATTTTATGTTAGCTGTAACGTTATGTAGTAATCCCGTGTCTTTTATGTCCTCTCCTGGAAGACTACAAACATGTAGCTGTCACTTACATGTAGGTAGACAGCTAAAGGAGAGGTTGAACTTCAATTAACTCCAAAAAATTCTTTTCAAATTCAATCTGTACCTGGAAATAATGAAACTAAGATACAGCATACATGTATAAGACAGTGGATTGATTGGCAGTGATGTACACAATTATTGAATGCATTTCCTTTACAGCAAAACCTTATACTTCACAACAGTGCCATCTAGGTGCTACACAATGTAAGTGCAGGTACTACATGTAGGACACCTCTACACACAAGAGATGAGCCACTGAAAACTTTGCCTACATTACTAGTAAGACTAGTACATGTAGATGCAGAAGTCACATGTAGTAACTGGCTATTATAGCGCTGAGAATACAAATTTTAAAACTGAATGGCAATCAAATGTTCCTTCTTGTCTTTCACAGTATATTTTTCTTTTAAAAACACCTTTTTCATAAAGAGAAAGACAATATACATGTAGGAAAGTTATATTCCCTGACAGTACTCCAGTAGCAGCTTTCTTCAATAGTTCTAGCCACCGTCCCTTGGAATGTATTTTGAGTGACAGGCCTGGGGCCAATTCAGCCTCTGACATTTGGAAGGTCAAAGAAGTCTAACCTCAACATTTAAAAGTCTGTTTGTATACACAAGCGACAGTGAATACATGTAATCACATAATGACAAAATACTGCCCATGGCAACAGTGGGCAATTTATCATAAGTCATTACCGCAGGTGACAAGGACAGCTGACATCTGTCCAAGAGTCCTCGATAAAAAGACGTAGCTCTCAAAATCATTTCTTTCTGCATATCTGCACTGGTGTACGTAACATTGAGAATTACCTGCACCAGAGAAATTTTACCTGCCTAGTGCACCATTTAGAATTTAAGGAAGTATGGATCATACTAAAAACTTTTCAGAAACCATTGCCATTATTTCTTTTATACAACATAGGCGGTAACAGTCAATACAGCAAATAAAATACACACACACCTAATATGTTACATAAACCCAGTACTCCTGTGTAGGTAAGGTACAGGTAGACACCAGAATACCTGCAGAGTTACAATTTTTACCTGCACTAACCTGCATATGCAGGTGGTATTTCGAGCCCTGAAACCCTCAATCTGATAACACTATGCAATGACACTTAATTAGATAGTACAGCACTTTTTATTTTCCATATCACAAGTTCAACGTCTGACATCTTGATACACAACACTACAGTAACTTGTTGAAGAGATTCATTTGTCACGTATAGATACAGTTACTACAGGATTCTTTCAACAGTGACAAGTTTGAAGGGTAAGGATCTCGGGCCTTGCACTCTCGCGAAACTAGGCCACTCCGTGAACAAGATGGACTGATAGTCATCGAAAATTTGGAGGTCAGTATCCTTACCCTTCCAACTTGTCACTGTTGAAAGAATCCTCTAGTAACTACTGTAACAGTAACTGTTTTCAAAAGAATGCAGTCACCTAGCATCACAGATGCTATCACAGTCATCACTACAAGCCTCTGTACATGCACCTATTAATTTCCCTGTAATGATCTGACTTCTTACTCACTCACAGCTAATTGGGTTAACCCAGGTACATGTGTATTCCCTCGCCAGTCTGTCCCTGATTTCCCACGGGCTCTTGAATGGATATTCCACAAGGCGACTTCTTGTTTACCTTAAATGAACTTCTTTGGAGGTAGAAGACCTACAGCATCAGCAAGAATACAGTGAAGAAGGAGAATTGGCCAAAGAAGCTTAAATAACAGGTTCTGAGCCAAGTTCAGAAAAAGATACACCTGAAGCCCATCTCACAGATTCAGAATCTTCCCCTGAACACCAGCTGACCAAGATAGGATGAGGTTTGGGAGCAGTCAACATTGCATCAGAATTTTGTCTGTCGCAGATAGTGAGTGAGTGAGTGAGTGAGTGAGTGTGTGTGCGTGTGTGTGAGAGAGTGAGTGAGTATGTGAGTGCATGAGTGAGTGAGTGAGTGAGTGAGTGAGTGTGTGTGCGTGTGTGTGAGAGAGTGAGTATGTGAGTGCATGAGTGAGTGAGTGAGTGAGTGAGTGAGTGAGTGAGTGAGAATGAGTGAGTGAGTGAGTGAGTGAGTGAGTGAGTGAGTGAGTGAGTGAGTGAGTGAGTGAGTGAGTGAGCAGACGATACATTTGAAAACAATAGACAGGATGTCATCCTTAAATACGCTAATACCATCTTAAATGAGACGACAGGGTTGGACAAGTCCCATTGCCCACTTGCCCAGGGCAAGTAAAAGTACCGTTCGGGCAAGTAAATATCGCCCTGTACTTGCCCGATTGGGCGAGTTAATTTTTTATACATTGTTTGGAGCAAAATTACACATCATTTCGAAATAAAGATATTGTATTGATAAAAGTAAAAAATAAGCCCTTTTGTCCGAAAAGTCTCTCTAAGTACCCTTATTTTGGTAAATATAGCAAGCAACATTAGAAACTTTCCTTTTTTTATTGAAAAATAAAATAATTCTCTTTCTGCAAGTAAAATGCATAGAAAAACGTCATATTTCGGGCAAGTGAAAAGTTGGTTCGGGCAAGTGGAAATGACCATGTACTGGCCCGGTAGGGCAAGTGGATTTTTGAAAACTTGTCCAACCCTGGACGTTCTGCTGAAGTGCTATGCACGATACACATTTATATGATTTGCACAGGCTCAGTACATGTACATTCTACCAACATGCTAAATTTGTGCTGATGATCACACAATACCAGCCAAACTGAATCTTAAACCCTTGTCCTGCGGGGCCCATATATATATATGGGTTGTACATACAGTACCATCTATATAGTGCCCTGTATATGTGCGATTTGGGGGTGTTTCTCGTGCAACGCATCACTCCGCAGTGAAACGCAACAAATGCGAAAGTAACTACGCCGCCGCAGGGCAAAAAAAGTCAAGGGTCTGTAACCTGATTAAGACATGAAATTATTTGAAAATATTGTGTAAAAATTGCCAGCAGGACAAGGGTTAAGAGCCCAATGTGGAAGATATCTAACAAGGTATGTAACATACGTCACCCATTGAACCATTTCAAGTCTGGAAAACCGCCATGATCCTCAAGTGGTATTTAGGCCAGGTTAAGTCTTGAGCCTCTGATGGATCGAAGACGTCAAACTTTTCTATTTCTTGGAAACACAGCTGTGCGCTACATGTACTAAGTACTTACACTGGGTACGTACTTGTATGTCGGTCAAACTGAGTACCATGGAAGTCTGACTTGCATGCATCTTGCTTGCATAGACCTGGCTGCGATGTACTTTTTAAGGATCATGTTGATCAAATAAACCATTGCTTCATTCATTCATTGATTCATTCATTCATTGATTCATTCATTCATCCATCCATCCATTCATTCATTCATTCATTCGTTCATTCATCTTGTTACGAGAAAATGGCAGGTACAAAATGACAATCATGCAACACCAGAATCTCAGGTCATCATATGTAATTTCCACCTCTTGATGTCCCAACTCCCACAAATATCCACACTGGGAATATGAAAGACTATGTACATTGTGATGCATGCTGCAGAAAGCTGTTCTTTGCCAAAAACTGGCTGTTATTTATCATGGAAGGTGTTAGAAAGTGATGTGGTATACACATGTACGTGTAAGCCAACTTCTGCCACTGGAAACTTGCACCGATGTCAATGTGAAAAGCAGACTCTTCAGCTCAGAGACTTAATATCTATTACAAGACTTAACTCCCCGATCCTTCCAAACACTGTAGACATTGTCAGATATAGGACCATAAAAATGTACTGGTGGGATTTGTATCCGGATGGAAAGTAAACACTAAAGAACCCGATAAGAAGCTTCCATTTGTCTCGTAAAACTTTTACCTCACTGTAAGAACGGAGACAATGTTACATCTGTGTCCAAGGCAGGAGGGATTTTGGCATATGGCTTAGAAATATGGTACAGGGTTAAAAGACTGGCAATCTCTCACTGTTGCATTGGCATCAGTCCTGACTGTACTGTTGGGATGGGAAATTACCGATAGCAGGGCTTGAAATTTGGAATACTGGGTGCACTTAGGCACCACAATATATTTGTGTAGGCTTACCTATAGAAAAGGTACTGTTATACACTAAGTACAGTGTATACTGTAACGTTATATTCTTGCCATTTACACAGATTAGTCAGAAAGTAGTAGAGCTGGTGTGTTACGCCGAAGGATGGTTATACCGGCTATACAGATACAGAAGCTGGTGTGTTACACCGAAGGGCGTTTATACCGGCTATACAGATACAGAAGTTGGTGTGTTACGCCGAAGGGCAGTTATACCGGCTATACAGATACAGAAGCTGGTGCGTTACGCCGAAGGGCGGTTATACTGGCTATACAGATACACCGAAGGGCGGTTATACCGGCTATACAGATACAAAAGCTGGTGTGTTACGCCGAAGGGCAATTATACCGGCTATACAGATAGATACAGAAAAATAATAAAACCTTTGTTATGCCACTTGTTTACAATTCAAAGTTGAACCTAGTAGCAATTGTTTTCCTTCACTAATGTCTTCTTGGATTTATAGGTTGGTGCACCTACATGTATTCCCGAATTTCGAGCCCTGTATGGTTAGAATACTGGCAATCTCACACTATTGCATTGGCACCAGTCCTGAATGCACTGCTGGGAAAGGATACACTGTCAGATGTGAACACTGCTGGGAAAGCAATAGAGGTGAACCATTACGTAACCACATAAATCAAGCTGCTAGATAAAGTCTCTGAGGAGTCAGACTTTTCAGACAGCATTCGGCAAACCATTGG